GTGTGTGTGTGTGTGTGTGTGTGTGCCAGGGATCAAACTTGGAACCTTGCGCTTGTGAGGCAGGCAGCAGAACCACTGAGCTAAATCCCTGGCACTAATATTATGTTTTAAAATATGAGATGTCTGACTTTTCCCTTTCTCCTCATCTGGATACTTAAGCTACCCTGGGCGTTATTATTGTACATGGCAGCCAAGCCTCTTTCCTTGTGCTCATGTTATCTGGAAACTTAAAATGATTTACTTAGATCTGACTTACATAAGTGTGAAATATCAATTCCATAAAATCTTCACAACATCTGTGAGTCATATGCTTGCATTAAGCATCTCTGCAACTCTAGCAATTTATATGCCACAGTTCACAAATTTTAAAAAAACCCAAATTTTCTTTACAATAATATTGTTTGAAAGTTTCACTTAATTTAATTAAAGTGAAATTATGTGATTCCTTATTTTCTACTTTTTTTAAAAATTGTTTTCTGCATTGACTTTTGTAAATTGCTTATGATAGGTAGCTTTATTGCTAGTATTGAGACCTCTTCAGGAAATGACTATTTTTCAGAGATGTCTTTTAGGCATAGCTGGCTTCTGAATCTGTCCCAAGATCCTGCCTCTTTATTTTATTAGGGATGAGAAGTTTTGCTGCTTATTTGGTCTAGCATCCAGTTATTTGGTACTGGACTATGTTGCTTATGACCCCCTGACAATCTCAGTATTGGCATACAAGGATAAACAATGGATCACAACTATGTCAACTTCGCTAAAGTAGTAGAAACAGTAATAACAATAGCATCAAGCACCGTCTAGAAAATGACAAATTGTAATAACTTAATTTGCCACCTTAACTGCAGGTACAGGATTTATAATGAAACATTAAATAAATCAGAAAATTATATATAGTAAATATTCCCTAAATAGAGTGATTTTACCCTTAGGGGAGAAAATTTAAAGGGGATAAGAGTAAAAATTAGAGAAATAAAAGAAGAGAAAGAGATTAGAAGCCAGTCTAAAGGATAAAGGAAGATTACCCAAGTTTCAAGAAACTGATGAAGGAGACAAGAAAGGAAAAAACAAAAACAAGTACAAAACAAAACAAAAAAATTAAAACCAATGTTCATTCTCATGAAAAAACCAAAATGATAAAAAAAAAAAGCAAAAGAAAAATAAAAAGGGTTTCTCTATGATCTCAAGCCTGTGGTTATCTTCTGGGGTCTATAATTTTATGGTAGTCAATTCAGGGAGTGTCTCTGCTGTAACTGGTAGACAAAGGAGGCAGACACAGCCAGATCCATGCTGGATGATCCCAGCAAGCCTGCAGCAAGATTAGGTGGGGTGCTGGATAATCCCTGCAAGCCTGCAGTAGAAATAGGATGGTGTGCCGATTCTGATGTGTTTAACTTCACAGAAGTTCAAGCTGATCATGGTCTCTGGTTATGGGTTTGGGATCAGAGTTGTTGAGCCGACAAAACTCTGGATGTCTCTTCTCAGCCTGATTTTGGCTCCCTGACCCTGGACATCTCTGAGGTTGTTCCTCACCCAGTCACTCACTGGGAGCCCCGAGATGAAGCAACCCAGGGCTGCTTCCAATTTCAGGTTCAGTTGGCCCCTCTTTAAAATGGACATAGCACCCTCTTCAGGGGACATAGCAGACACCTGGACTGGAGTCACTCACCAGCTATTGTAGCTCACAGAATCCATTTCTCCATTCCATTGGTGCATTTCTCCCTAGAGACCTCTATAGTAACCAGCTCTCACTGTATCCCTGTAGATTTGATCCTCCTCTGTCATGCCATGATCTGGGGACTGGGGAGAAAGTGCATTTTGGCACCTCCTTTTTCTGCATTATGGCTTTTCTCTATGGGTTCAAATTTTTCCTTCAGATCCTTTCTGGGTTTTGGAAATCCATCTACCTCCTTATTTTCTTCCCCAGGTTGTTATATTGAAGTGTCTAGATTTCGAACCTGAGAGAGGTCGATGTGTTGCTGTCTACCACTCTGATATCTTCCTGCAAGTCCTCTCAATTCTTTTTTTTTCATTCCCTTTTCTTCTCTCTTCCCTTCCTTTCATCTCTTGATCCCCTTCCCATTCAAAAAAGATGTCTTTTCTTCCTATCATCTTTTATTTTGCTATTTATGTTTTGAGTTTCTTGTATAAGAGAAACCATGTGATATTGTGTCTGATTGAGTTCATTTAACATTGTGGTCTCAAAGTGCATTTTTTAAAAACAAATGACTTATTTATCCTTCTTCTATTTTGGGGGGTGGTTTGAGACAGGGCCTCATGTTGTAGTACAGACTGACCTGGAACTCACTATGTAGCCCAGGCTGGTCTCAAACTCACAGCGATCCTCCCTCCTCAGCCTCCCTAGTGCTGGGATTATAGGAGTGTGCCACCACACCTGGTTTCATTTAGCCTTCTTTATGGCAGAGTAATACTCCATAATATATAAATACAACATTTTATTTATCCACTCACCTGCTGAGGATATCTAGGCTACTTCCAAGAGGTAGCTATTATGAATTGTTCTGCTATAAACATTGTTTCAGTTTTATAAGGGAGCTGGCTTTAAACCTAGATTAAAAGTTAAGCCACTAGGAGAAACTCTAAGTTAACATTTCAGCCTTTTACTTGAGAAAGTAAATAAAGGGAAAATAAATAAAAGTAAGATTATTTAAAATGAGGGAGGATGCTGGGGATAGGAGATGGATGTCTGGACACAGGTCATCATATTCCTCTGGCTACTTCTTATTGTGCTAGGGCATTGTTCAGAATTATTATTCTTTTTTCCCCTGGTGAAAGATTTGTTGGTGTCTGAGTGTTTTGCATAGAAGGACGTTGTCCAGTTGGCATTGGTAAGGTTTGAATCTGTTGTTTGAAGTGAATCATGGTGTGGAACAGGAATGGTCCCACTGGGTCCTGGATCTTGATTAGGTGCTGTGAGATTACACTGAGGTTCTCCTGTAGGTCCTATGATCAGTTTTGGTAGAAGGTGAGCAATGTGGTCAGTCCTCTCACACCAAGTGGCCACTTCTGTGGATTTCTCCAATATTGTTAGAGGGGAACTAGAGTGACTGCCCCCTTTTTTGGTGGATATGGTCAGTATCCACGGGGATGGAGAAGAATGGTTTAATGGGGGCTATGTTGATATAGGGGGACAATTAGTTGGCAGGTACAAGCAGGATGGCCAGCCACAAAAAAATATTCCTGATTGGAATAGGCAAGTCATGAGGTATAGTAAAGAGATGTGTCA